GACTGATATCCTTTTAACTCATTCGCCTGCAACTTCCGTCATTTCCAGTGGTTCAAGACGTAAAAGACATCTTCACACAATTATGAAGAAATACCCCGTGCATCTCCAGGCCCGTGGGCCAATTTGGTTATTTTTTTGGCTTCAGGTATGGCAATGGTATGCCACGGGGGTTGCAGGCACATCAACGGGTTGATTTGACAACATTTCAAGCGGCAGAGAAGAAACAGCTGCAGCTGCGACGTCCAAGTGTCTGGCAACTGCTTTCTGGAGCCAACACCGAGCCAACTACGTTGACTTCAACTGGTGTTTTTTCAGCAGCCAAGGTTTGAGGTCATTTCCATTGCCATTTCATACATAGCCGAAATGTTTCACAGATCATGGTAAGATCAGGCTGGGACAGAGCTAACTTGTGGAGTTCCTTAGATTTCAACATGTTTTGTGTTACAACCCCCTGAAAACTTAGGTGGAGCTTTTCCGTGACTGTCATCAAACAAGTATCACGATCCTTGAATCCAAGCAGGTTCATCCACTGGCAATATGAGCGCTTCGAGTCCTTAGCTGCAGGTATGCACCAAGAAGTGAGAGCAGCCGACCTGTCGGACATCTTTGGGATCCTGACGGCCAAAAGAAACAGCCATTTGAAGGGACCATTTATTGTCCGCTTATCGAGGTGTTGTTTTCAGATTTCCTTTGAGTTCCTTTTGTGCTCTTTGTGTCCTCTGCTGAAGACGTAGCGTTGTCAAGTTGTGGAGGTCGTACCGGCCAGATCAGACAGAAACTCACCCCTGGCACAAAGGAAGGATGCACAGGTTTGGTGTTAGCGGATTAACGCTAGACTCAGACACACGTTGACTTGTTTTTGCAAGTGTTGACTGCAATTGGCTAAAATGCTGGTTGCGATGGGTGACTCTATAGACTTATATTGACATCTTCATCATTCTCTTTCTCTCTCTCTTCATCATTCTGTATTCCTGCATGGGCGCTGCGATTGCCCTGGCTCCCTGCCAGGCACGGCTTTAGTTTGGACCGGTTGGGACGTGGTCGGTACCGGCATGAGTTGACCTGTTGACACACTTGACCATGCCTTGTAGCTACTGGCAACGTACAGCGGCCTGGCACTACCAAGGCTGTGTCACAGTAAGTCTTAACTAATAGCTTCTTGTTCCTAGTAGTAAGCACTTACTAGTAGCGATGCACTTGTTCCTAGTAGCTTCTTGTTACTACTAGTAAGGCACTTGTAGCTTGATAGTGTACACTTCTTGGAGACGTGTCCATGCGCACTGGCCTTTGAACAGGTTTTGTGGGCTTTCCAAATTATATCAGCGTGCCAAGAAGGGGGTTTGCAACTTCTTGAGACTTGCTTTGACTAAGAAGTGGCTTCTGCTAACAAAGTCCGAAGAAAACAAAAAATCACAATAGACTATGCTCCAACATATTAATAGCAGTGGCCTCCAACCTACTAGCGATGGCCGCCAACCTAATA